AATAAAATAAAATAAAATAAAATAAAATAAAATAAAATAAAATAAAAATACAACACAACACAGCACATCTGCCCGGAAATCGGATTCCAGTCCTCCCAGAGCCCATCTGCACATCCCCTCCTGGCTGTCTATGTGACCTCACCATTAGAAACGTGGAATTTAAATCTAGTTACGCCTGCACCTCCGTTCCTGCGCTTCCCACCGGGAACCCCACACGGATCCCTCTCGGCAGCAAACTCCTTGCTCTTCCCCCTTTGTGAGCCTTCTGTTTGCCACCCTTGATCTGGACAAGTACTTTCAAGCATTCTTTTCATTTGCTAAAATATATTTTTGGCAGGATGTGCTGGTGTTCCAAGCATCAGCTGTGACTCCCGAGAGTCCATCTGCATTTCTGTGAGACCTGCTCACTGCCCCAGAATTATCTGGCTCCAATGAGGGGTCGTCCTCGGTCCACAGCACCACCGAGTGCCAAGTGGGGCTCCGTGAGCACCCAGCCGAGCCGTGGAGACAGCAGGTTCTGCCAAGTCAGGTGTGTAAGAAACACCACACTCCTTCCTCTTCTCTAGATCACATCACATTCTCAAGCCTTCTACCCCCAAACTGTTTCAAGAGATAGAAAACCTGTACAGACCAAAACCTGTAGAGACCTGAAACGAAGGTCAAAGATCTACCCTATCTTGGACAGGACCAGCCACCACTGAGCAGATCATGTCCCTGTAGCAGAAGCCCTGCAGAAGCTTGGGAGAGAAGCCGGGGCACTGCCCAGCTCGGGAGCTGGTAAAACCAGGCAAGGACAGTATCTAAAACAAGCCACGGACCAGTTTCACGAAAAACATAAACACCCTAAATTACTGATGTAAATCCAGCAGTTGAGAAAATAAAAATTATGATCAAGTCAGGTTTGCTCTAGAAACATGAGTAAGGCTCCAGAGCAAAAAACCCACCAACAGAAATCACTACCTTAGTAGATCAAAGCGGGGGAAAGAACCATTTATCAACAGATGCTGAAAAAGCACTTGACAGGAACCCCGTCCCACACATGATCATAGACAATTTTCAGCAAACTAGAAATAGAAGAAACGGCAGGTGAACATCACCCAAAGAAGGCAACCTACCAGACATCTTCATGTCTCATAGTGAGATGCTCGAAGCCTCTTCTGTCAAGTCCGCGTTTCCTCCCGGCACTTTGCTCCTGCCCGGTGGCGTCTGTCTTCAGGGGGAGCCCTGCCCTCGGTTGTGGGATGTCCTGGCACGTTGTCCCCTAGTTCACTCCATCCAGGCGGTTTTCAGGTCTGCACCCGGTCAGAGCTGCTCACCCCGCCCCAGACGGTGGTGTCCAGAGCAGTCCGGCATCTTTAGCGGGAAGACAGGAAGGACAGCATTGGTTGTTTTTCAAAAATGGCTCCCTACTGTCTTCGTCTAGTACTCCAGGGGAGCACCTGACCATGGGCGCAAACCAGGGTAGTTCACCCCAAGTTTATAAAGGCAGAACCTTGGAAATAACTGACATGTGCCTGACTTGTTTTTATAAACAGCTAAATAAAATCTAGAAACCTTCCCCTAATGGCTAAGTAGCAGTTAAACTGAGTTGGGGTAGGACGGCATTTCTTGACTGAGAAAGATCTTTCACGTATAATGTTGAGGAGCACGTGGGTGGCTCAGTCAGTTGAGCGTCTGACCTCAGCCCAGGTCATGATCTCACAGTTCGTGGGTTCAAACCCTGCGTCAGCACGGAGCCTGCTTGGATCCTCTATCACCCTCTCTCTCCCTGTCCCTCCCCTGCTTGCACTCTCTCTTGCTCTCCCTCAAAAACAAACATGAAAGAAAAAAGACATAATGTTGAGTTAGAAAAGTAACTTGCAAAATGGTAGACATGGGATGATACATTTGGCAAAAACAATACACGATTGGTCCTCTGCGGAGAGCACACATCCGTGAAATGTCTGGTGGTGCACACCACCCCGACCACGCCAGGCTCTGGTAGTCTTCACGTGAATATAAAGAAAACCTAGTTGTAGCTTATATGTCTAATAAGGGGGAAAAATTAACCATCTTCTACTGACATGATACCTGGAAGGGCACGAGGCAGGCAGGCGCTGAGCACTGAGGTTTCATGCCGGCCAGGCAGAAGGGCCCCTCGTGTGCCCCGTCCACAGACCCCGCCAGCGAGCGCTGCAGCCGGGCACACGTCTGTCTACATGGCAAACGTGGGGATGCACGGAGCAGAGCAGGAGCCAGGGGGGGGGGGGCAAGACCAGGGCAGGCGTCCGGGCCCCCCATGCACCGGGCGGCTTTCCTTCTGAGGTGCCTCCCCCCCACCAGGTGCGGCAGTGGGTGGGCTACTGTCCCCAGTTTGACACCCTACTCAACCACATGACGGGCTGGGAGACGCTGGTCATGTACGCCCGGATCCGGGGCATCCCCGAGCGCCACATCGGCACCTGCGTGGAACAAATTCTTGAGGAGTTACTCATGTACGCCTACACTGACAAACTGGTGAAGACCTACAGGTGAGACCTGGGGCTCCCTCGGTCCTGCCACCTCCACCGGTGAGACGTGCCCGGCTCTCCTCCGTGCAGGGCCAGGGCCATCAGCTCAGGGCAGTCCCTGCCACTGTGTGGATTTGTAGGAGGCGTAAGAATGGACCATGGCCTGGGCTGCCCTGAGGCACCGTTTCCTCTTGGCCCCCTAGCAGGTGGGTGGCTGAGCACAAGCAGATGGCACCTGCCACTTTGCAGAGGACTTCTGATTTTTGGCAGCCTCCCATTTCACACATGACCTTATCTTGCTGCGTCTGAGGCATCTGAACTGTGCACGTTTTGCTGACAAGCCCCAGTCTTCTGCTGCCACCCATACTCAGCAACTCGCTTGGCTTAGCGCGCCAAGCAGGGCCACGCCCCCTCCCCTCCGTCCCAGGACCCGCTGGGGTTGTGTGCAGCGCTCCCTGGCGGTTCGCGGCC